TGAACTGTTCCCAGGGAGCAGTCCAGTACACGAGCATATCTGACTTGTACACATACATTGTATCTTACTGTGTAAAACTAGCGACTGGCATGGGATGATGAATGGACTTGTTTAAGTTCAGCTCTTGATCACGAATATGTATGAGGTATGATAATAGGTGTTTTGTTCTAGACTGACCTGGCCTTTGTGAAACACCAAACTGGCTTGTGGGCCCATGTGACCACCACTGACCAGTGAATGTTTAATGCGGTTGATCCAATCTTTGCCTATGTAGAGTTTCTTGATCAGACTTGCACCAAATCACGTGGTTATCTCTGATAATTTACTGAATTTCACATGTTTCGTAGTTGAGGTAATGTGATATTCCTAGGTTGACTTGTATTTTTGTGCATATTTTGTTCCTTGCCCCAGCAGAAGGGCGGTCCACCACCCCTGAAGCCTACCTATGGCACCCTCTTCGTGGCCAAGACCTACCCTCCATGGCAGAGCGCTGTCCTGACAACTCTTAAGAAACTCTACGACGTAAGTTAAATTCAGAAGTGTTTTTACATGTGTCTGTGCCTTGCACGAAGAGGTGGTCTCCCCTTACCCAATCTAGACCAAAAGACAAAAAGTGAATTGTTAGAGCACCTGATGATGTTCCGGCAAAATCATAGCAGAAACTTTCTCTTACATTTTGAGATAATGCTAGAATTGAAATGTCACCTGCAGCATAAAAATGAGAACCATCTACAGCTGAGAAAATTGTTGCCTATTTAGGAAATACAAAGCCCCACAGTCTTTCCAAGAGAGTTCTTTGTGAAAATTCCATATCAAACTTTTTGCCGCATTTTACCTCACACTGTTCAGTTTTAGAAGATTCTGGAAGTTTTCAAAACTCTCACTTTCTGCATCATTTCCAGGGTAATTCCGGTGGCTTCCCTGAAAACAAGGTGATACTGAATGAGCTGAAGAACATCGATCTGCTCAAGAAATACATGAAGAAGGTCATGCCGTTTGTGCAGCATATCAAGGTAAACGTGAAGATGCCAGAGTTGTTCTCATCTTTGTGAACTGTTTTCGAAACACTAACGGCAATACAACAGGGGTAGACCAACCAACGGTAGGAACATCAGATGCCTACTCCAAAGATGAAATGGATTCATTGGGTGTCCACATTGGTGGGCACGTTTGACGGGTGCAGCTTGTGCTTCACCAATTTTTAGCTGAATGTGTACAAACTTGCGGAATAATCCGAGGAGTCACTGTTACTGTATGTAGTGGCATCACACCAGAAAATGCCCCTGCTAGTGGATGAAGCGTTCAACCCTTGTGTACGGTGACCTTTTCGAAGTGCGTTTGATACCACCACAGTAGTGGCTTGTAAATCAATGTCATTTCCTGTTGGTAGCTATCACCTTACATTGGAAACATTGTATTGTATTATGGTGATGCTCATGTAAATAAACAATGTGAATGGAAGCAAGGTTGAAATCTGGCACACAGGTAAAGTAGTACAGATCTCAACCAATCTAATTTGCTGATGTAGCCCCTGATATTAATATCAAGTGAAATTCTTTGTGCAAGGATGCTGAATAATGCATACATGCATACTCCACATTGTTCGTCTAGGAAGTGTGCCACAGTTAATACAGCATTTGACGTTGCAGTAATAGTTTTCGTCATCTGAAATACGGCTTTGTGTGTCAGTTATTAGGGCAAAGTGTTGGAAGACAAATGTTTTGTCTATAACCGCCTCCTTTTTTGTGTGAATCACAGGAGAACGTTGAGAAGTCCGGTGCAAGGGCCATGGACTTAACCATGGAGTTTGATGAGAAGCAAGTACTGGAGACCAACATTGCCTACTTGGCCAGTACCTTGGAGGTGAGTCCCCTATTTTTTCAGTTTGCAGACCGTAAAAAGTCAGGATTTTCTCATTTGCATTAAAGAAAAAAGAAAAAAAATTATAAAATTGAAAAAGTTCTGGCACACAAGGGTGCTGTTTCAGAAAAAAGAGGGCGCTATTTGCCATGTCCAAATGGCAGTTGTTATACGCATGCATACATGCATGTACAATACATGTACATGTAAACAGCTTCTCTCGTACTGCTGCTTGATTCACTGTGGGCTTGGAAAATGGGTACTCCGATTTCTGACTGTTCAATGTTGGCAGGGAAGTAGAAAGTAAGAGATTTTGTTTTTGTGCTTCGTCTGCTGCCAATACTTTTTCACGGGGGGACACTCCTCTTTTCCCCCGGGCGATTCACAATAGTGGGCCACCAAGAGTTTGCAAAACGTTGGCCAATCATAACGCGACAAATTTCGCGCATTGTGATTGGCCAACGCGTTGCAAATTCTTGGTGGCGCACTAATGTGAAACTGCCGTATTATTTATTTTAGACCCAGCTCCCTGTATCCAGTAGTTTCATAACATAGAAGTCTCTCAGCAGACCAACAGCATACAGACAAGACCCATGTAAGCTCTGAACCTTGTTCTGTGCTTCAATTCATGCACTTCCCATCATTACAAGTGTCGGATCTGTTTTTGGCTTTATATCGTCTCTGTGCTTTAATAGCAATTTTACATTTGTGCTGTGTGGTTTAGTATAATTTTTCCTTTTTTTAAAATGTTTGAAAAAATATTTTTAAACATCCACTTTGGGCTTTATTTTTTTGTATTCCGATGTTTTTTCCCAATAGTAATTTTTGTTTACAATGATTTACTTTCTTTCTGATGAATTATCTGAGATTTTCAAATTCTGTTTTGGACCCAGATTGAGATATTCATTCAAGGACGTGAGAAAACTAGTTTTTTGGGGTTGTGAATAAATTTGTGGAGAAGTCAGTGTTCGGTTTGCGTAATTCACTTTTTTCATTATCCCAGTTTTCTGTTTTAACCTAATAATTAACCTGAATGCCGTAGCTGGAATGATGTCTGGACATCTTACGGACAGCCAGTAGGTCATTTTGGACCCCTGATTTTGGTAGTCAGATGCATTATAAGCACGAAACCCCACCAATGGGGGCACCTTGTTTTCCCTTGAAGGCAAATGTGCACTTTGAAATGCAGGCTTAGACCATGGAGAAGATCTCCTAAGAAGAACATTTTTTCGTCTGAGCCTGTTGTACCAGAAATGACCTAGATTTATGGTCATGTTACAAATGCACTTCAGGACACGTGTAGGATACACCATTTGCATTTGCTGTAATTTTTCAAGACTGGCTGATTTAAAGGGTTGTTATTTATTTTCTGTATCATTCTGACTGTTACTGACTGCCTTCGGAAAAGTGTGAAATGTCTTTTTTTTTCTCTCGAATGATTTCACAGATTGTCTGACCCTGTTGTTATGTACATGTATGTGCATCTCTAGAGATTTTATGAAACACTCTATGTACAAAATGTTCCGTCAGTTTCTAATGGTTCTCTTCAAGTGGGTTTTGATACCAGAGGTTTTCTATGGCCCACCCAGAAAGTGGAGAAAGATGCTTTTTTGTTGTTTAATGGGTGTATGTACTTACCACAGCCCTCCTGACAACACTTCTAACCCCAAAAGAGCCAGGTTATTTTGGCCCATCTCACAGCCGGGGGCGGTGGCCCCCAAAGAACTCGGTTGTGTCATGCTCATGTTTTAAAAACTTGGCATGCGTTAGAGACACTCCTTATCATTGTGTATGTGAAGGTTGAACTCAATCAGACGTACGATTTTGTTAGGATCACTTAAAGTTCAAGGCTACATGCGTGCCAGCCTGCATGCACTGAGCATCACAGTGGAAAGAGTACGCTTTCTTGGCTGACCCGTCTGCGCAAGAATGTGTTTGTTCACACTTTATCTTCAAGTTTTGCTCATTTGATATCAAAAGAGTTACTCTAAATGCTCCTGAAGGCTCGACTCATGAGCAAAATGCACTACGGCGATACTGGAAAAAATGTCAAAGGGGGCAGATTTTGCCCCGCTAGCTTTTGTCGGGTTAACCCCAACTGCCCAAAACCTGCCATACTCCAACAGCAGGTTTTGTAGGGTTTTGGCAGGTTTGGTACCATACCTGAGGAACTCGTTGTTGAATTTTGTGAGACTTGGGATGAAAGGCCCAGGGAG